GCACTCCAGGCTGCAGGGATCCCTGTATTCCCTCGCTTCCAGCCTGGCCATTTGGGGAGGTCCACGTCCTCAGTGGATGGCGGGCCTGTGAGGGCAGTTCTGGGCTGCCTCCACCTCCCCCACAGAGCAGCAGCTCAGAGGATGGTTCCAGAATGACCCCCACAAGGTCTGACGAGACCATGACTAAAGCTTGCTGAGCACTTCCTCTGCTCCCAGCGCTGCTTTGTCTTTAATAGTTTTATTGAAGCATAATTACATGCCAGAAGCCAGAAGCCCATACACTTTTGTGTGTGTGTGTGTGATGCTGGGGATTGAGCCCAGGCCTTCACAAATGCTAGGCAAGTGCTCTGCCATTGAGCCACCCCAGCCCTTTAAAAAACTTTTTAGACAGGGTCTCCCTAGGTTGCTCGGGCTGGCCTTGAACTTGAGATCCTCCTGCCTCAGTCTCCTGAGTGGCTAGGATTATTGGCCTGTGCCATTGCACTCAGCAGGCTAACTCATTTAAAAATTTTTTTTAGTTGTCCAATTGACCTTTATCTAATTCATTTATATGTGGTGCTGAGAATCAAACTAGTGCCTCACACAGGCTCGGCAAGCGCTCCACCACTGAGTCCCAGCCCAGCCCCCAAGCTCACCCATTTTTATGTGTACAGTCTGATGCCAGGCACTATCTTCCCCATGTTAGCTCATACATATCCTTTTAATCTTCACAATAGATCTATAACGTAGGTTCTATTGTGATTTCCATTTTATAGAAGAGGAAACACAAGTCCAGAGAGGTTAAATTACTTGCCTAAGGTCACATAGCTGATGGGGTGGAGCAGGAATTCAAATCCGGGTCTCTCTGACTGCCAGGCCAGGGGGTCTCAACCATTTCTTTCTGCTCTCCAAGCTTTGCTTTATGGGGAACAAAGAGTCAACCGCGATGGTAAGAAGAGGGGGGATGGGTGCGCTCCGAGGGCGGGAAGCTTGTCCACGGCATCCCAGTGCCCAAGACCCGCTTGGCTCAGATAGGACTCCCAGTAAATACGGCAAGAACCAACCAGCAGAACCACAGACAGTGGACTGTGGGAGATCTGGCAGGCCCTGGGGAGGGACCAGGAAGCTAGGAGGCTTGGGAGACTGGGCGTGTCCACAGTGGGGGGGGGTCTCTTATTTTAATGAGCAATGCAGCCATTCCAAGGCCCCCCACAGCCTAATGAATGAATGAAGAATGAAAAGCAAGCAGGGCTGCGGTCTCCAGCAACCAGGTATCTTGAGGGGCTGGAGCCACAGCGATGGCTGGGTGGAGGGTGATTCTGGGGGGAGCCAGAGTGGAGCCACGGGCCTGGCGCTGTTGGCCATTTCCTATAGACCAGGATTTGGAGAGCTAACGGCTGGACATCTGTGCAGTCCACTATCCCGTCCAAAAGAATGGATGCTACTTTCTGGCTCGAGGGTGGGGTCTGACTTCCGCCCGCGCCCCCCACTCCCCAGGCTACGACTTCCCAGCTGTGCTGCGCTGGTTTGCGGAGCGCGTGGACCTCATCATCCTGCTTTTCGACGCGCACAAGCTGGAGATCTCGGACGAGTTCTCCGAGGCCATCGAGGCCCTGCGGGGCCACGAGGACAAGATCCGCGTGGTTCTCAACAAGGCCGACATGGTGGAGACGCAGCAGCTGATGCGCGTCTACGGCGCGCTCATGTGGGCGCTGGGCAAGGTGGTGGGCACGCCCGAGGTCCTGCGCGTCTACATCGGCTCCTTCTGGTCCCA